TTGCTACAGTACATGTCAGAGGCACAATCTCTATTCCTTCTTATCCCTGTTTCATCATATAATAGCTACATTTTTGCAGAGTGCAGATAATACATGAGAATTTCTATGCACATCTGTTCCATAGAATGTTCAGTATATGGATTCTTAACTGCAGCCATAAGCCATTTTCATGAATGATATGCATTAAAGTGAGAAATAATCAGATTTAGGTTTAATATAATAATATCATGCCATAATTCACCTCTCAACAAGTCAGACCAATTTGTGGTATTGAATAAATAAATATTATTTTACGTTATAATTTGATGGTGTTTAATTAATTATATTAAATCACAATGTACAATTCTTTATTGGAGTCCATCGTAACACAACAACATAACGTTCAAGGTTAAAACTACCTTAGCTACATGTTTTGGCTTTTAAAGCCATTGTCAGGCAAAACACATGATTACTATATTCACACACTATTGAACTGCAATTTCATTGTGACCGTGAAGCTGGATACTTGATAAATGTTACATTATAACATACAAGGTATAAAAAATACAATGAACTATAAACTTATTGTAAAACAAAAGCTATGAAGTAAAATATGGTTAAAAATTCTTCATGTGATATTGCATATCATGGAGTCAGTTGTTGCAATCTTGTTATATTACCGGGACATCATGGTATATTCAAAACTTGTATACATATAGTAAACTGCTTGGAGGCCCACAGTGTGGATGTAGTATTATTTGACATTAATTGTCAATTAGCCAAACAAATGATGTAAAATAATACTACATCCACACTATGGGCCTCCAAATGGACCACTGAGGTCTAAGTGCAAGGGCCGAGTAGGCCTACCCCTTCATACATACATGGGCCTCCAAGCAGTTTACTATATGTATAGAGTAAAGTAAAAGTAAAGCTATCCTTGTACCAGGCTGTGAAGGCCCTTAGGGTTGTGAGATGTTGAGGGTCACACATTATCTGGACAGTCAGCTCACAGATGGCGGTAAGGTTGTCAGCCTTACGTGCTGGCCACGCTTTACTCCCCAGAAAAATTATTTAATTAATTCTTGGTACTCATTTCTGATAGAGGCTGGGTGAACCCCAGGACCATAGTGTGGCTGGAAGGATTAGCATAGCCCCTCAACCAACTACGCTACTGCATGCCCCCACTATATGTATACAAGTTTTGAATATACCATTATGTCCGCAGGAATACTATAACAAGATTGCAACAACTGACTTCATGATATGCAATATCACATGAAGTATTTTTAACCATATTTTACTAACTTTCGTTTTACAATAAGTTTATAATTCATTGTATTTTTATACCTTGTATTTTGTAATGTAACAGTTATCAAGTATCCAGCTTTACTGTCACGATGAAATTGCAGTTCAATAGTGTGTGAATATAGTAATCATGTGTTTTGCCTGATGATGGCTTTAAAAGCCGAAAGATGTAGCTAAGGTAATATTAACCTTGACTGTTATGTTGTCATGTTACAACGGACTCCAATAAAGAAATTGTATGTAATAACACAATAGGATGCACGAAATGAAAATTAAACCACAAACACATGTGAAAATACAGGCTTATGGTGTTGTCTAGGCCTGTTCCTATCTTGAGACACTTCTTTCCTGCATACCCTAAGAAATTCAGTCCTACATGTATGTTCAATGAGTTGAAGAATGGAATGTCCACATCAGAATGTCACCTGAAATTGAACATGGTCAGTGAAACATCTGCTTGAGAATTCTTTGATTTGTATCTATGCAAACATCACAGTATAATGTAGACTGTCATATCTGATGATAAATTTAATTTGTTAACATATCAGTGGCACTGAATGGAGTTTTATGAAAACATGCATTCTACAATAACATACTAGATTTGTATATGAGACAAATTCCGTTTTAAGTGCAACAATTTAATTGTAGTTCTTTCTTCTTCCCTTCCTCTACACTACATGTTTCGGCCCTAAATGGCCGCTGCAGCACTATAGACATAGGGCGTGTACCCCGAGGAAATTTTAATTTTTAAAAATTTGGAAAAAGAAAAAGAACAGAAAATTTATAGACATTTTAATTTGAATTGAAGTTTAGAAAAGTGCCAATTTTAGAAATCAAATTGACGCGTGTAGGTTAACAAAGATTTTATACATACATACAATTGGAAAGACTGGTGATTTTAAATTTTAAACTACGGGCAGTGTAGCAGCTACGTAAGAATACACACCTGATGATGGCCATTTAGGGCCGAAACATGTAGTGTAGAGGAAGGGAAGAAGAAAGAACTACAATTAAACTGTTGCACTTAAGATGGAATTTGTCTCATATACATTGTGTGAGTGTAACAGGATGCTTAAATATAATATACTAGATTTGATTAAAGAGGTGGGTGTTAAACAATCCTTACATTGCGACCATCTATGATCTATCATGCGTACATTGCCTAAGATAGCCCTCTAGCAATCTGGTACTTTGAATGGAGTGCAATACCTTGCTCAATGGGGTGATACTCACTTTGAATGAAAATTAAAAGTATTAATGGTTACTGTTAATTATACTTGTAGGAGGACCATGCGTATCTCTTGAATTTGTTTCAAAATGTGTGTACTGTAAGACACTTTACCACAAGCTATTGCATAATGTACTGTAGAACTCATTCCACTGTAGAAAGAGCTAATTTGTCCACTGGTGAGCAGAATATTCAGTATGTGTGCAGAGTATTGGAATTCTGACTATATGCTTGGAGAGTGGTAGTAATTTAGTGAGCTGTTCCTGGTATATAGTTTACGGATGTAGGGGCCAGGTAATCTTTGTATACTCAAGGTATACTATCGGTAATATTGGCTTCAGTTACCCACACTTTGCAGTAAGCTTCTCTTTGTGTTGAAATTCGTGTGTCAGTTGCACTTAACTGTGTAACTACTATACATCATAAATATTTAGCAGAACAAAAAAATGTTCTGAACAAAATTTGTAGAGCAAGACAAATCACAGGTTTACTGTTCAATGTAATAATTCCATAAATCTCACGGTTTCTGCTGTAACTGAACAAACCGGATGCTGCGCATACATTTCTGAATTTCTACATAGCTAAGTCAATAAATAAGTTGCAAATGGATATAGAACTTAAACAAATAAGAGTACTGATTTAAAAAATACTTTTATTTCTCAACCTAATCTCGCTGTACATTGAGGCACTTGTCCCATCATTTCACAAGCCCCTGAAAACCAGCAGCATAAAATTCTTTGGGCTGCTGTAGGAACCAGGTGGCGACTTCCCTTTTCACAGCTTCGTCAGGAAAATGTTCAGCTGAAAGATGATGTTTAAGAGGGTTGAACAAATGGAAGTCGCTTGGAGCAAGGTCGGGGCTATACAGAGGATGCTCGAGGACTTCCCACTTGAAATTTTGCAGCGTCTTGTCTGTCTTGTTGGCAGTATGGGGACGCTCATTATCATGCAAGAGCAACATGCCTTTGGTGAGGAGTCCTGGTAGCTTCCGTTGAATGGCGTTACGAAGTTTCCTGAGGATGTTACAGTAGGAGTCGGCATTTGTGACTCCTCACCAAAGGTGTGTTGCTTTTGCATGACAACACGCATCCCCATACTGCCAACAAGATAAATGAGACACTGCAAAATTTCAAGTGGGAAGTCCTCGAGCATCCTCCGTATAGCCCCGACCTTGCTCCAAGCGACTTCCATTTGTTCAGCCCTCTTAAACGTCATCTTTCAGCTGAACATTTTCCTGATGATTAAGCTGTAGAAAGGGAAGTCACCGCCTGGTTCTGACAGTAGTCCAAAGAATTTTATGCTGCTGGTTTTCAGGGGCTTGTGAAACGATGGGACAAGTGCCTCAATGTACAGGGAGATTATATTGAGAAATAAAAGCATTTTTCAAATCAGTACTCTTATTTAAGTTCTATATCCATTTGTAACTTACTTATTGACTTACCCTCATATATTCAACCATAACCATGCTCTCCAAGTCACACCTGAAACCTGCATTATGTGTACTTTTACTTCCATGTCTTTTTCCCCTCCAGTAGTGCAGGCAATTGTTTTACCATAATTAAATTTTGTAATACACAGCATATGGTTAGACTTTTATTATAAGGAAATGAGAAAGTAATACTGACAGATTTTATGGTAACAGTGCAAAGGCACAACTTGTTTGAGGCCATGCAAATCTGTCTTAGGATGTTGACTACCATATAAGGCATACATGTGACTTAAAACTTGGCATGTCTCAAGGCTATCCTGGACATTACTTACACAAATTACCAACCTGCACAGAAGCATATTTAGGCACATTTACTTCCACATGGAGTGCTGTTAAAATCTCTCTGTCCATTTATTTGTATGTATGCAAGATATAACTCGAGACCTGTCATGCAGATTTTTATTAAATTTGATATTGGGGAGTGTTATTAAAATTGTTGGCACATTTCACTTTTGTCTAAAATCAGACAATAATAATGGACACTTTAGATGAAGATCAGTATGTGTTTCAGTTCCCATCTTGTGCATCATTTGTTAAATATTTATCATGTGTCAGTTTCATTTAGCCACATAATTTTTTTCTTCCTTGGCACTATAGCCCCAGTGGGCCTAGGCCTACCTCCATGAACTGCTCCGTTCACTTCGGTTTTTCTAGATTTTACACGTTCGGTAGGACTCCTTGGGTGAGTGATCAGCTCGTTGCAAGGCCTCTACCTGTAGACAAACACAGAAAAACGCACACACACAAAGTAAACATCCATGCCCTGAGTGGGATTCGAACCCACGACCCTGGTTTCCAAGCAAGCAAAGACAGTACATGCCTTAGACGACTTGGCTACTGTGACCAGCAGCCACATAAATACTATATATATATAATATTAAAATTATAACAGAGACATAAGAATGGACCTGACTAGCGTGTGCTGTACAAGGCACACTCTATGGCATTTCTTGTTGTTTTTAGTTATATTTGCCAAATTTTGTTAGATTAATGAGAATATTTGTAATTAACAATGGAGCATCATTTTATGTTTGAATTTGGTATAAGCCCTCATTTACGATTTTTCTCAATTTAAGGTACAGGACATGGCAATTTCACTGTAATTTGAAATTATTAAATAAAGTTAGCTATTAACATCAGCCTACTAGCTATAGTTATGGCAGCACAAAAGAAACACAGTAGTCTTTACTGTTGAAGTAGGTTGTACAATTCTAATAATTTGGAACTGTTTATTGAAGATACTAATTGCAAAGAATCAGACAATGTGCTCTGTGTAGAATCTGATGAGATCCAGTCACCTTATTCAACCAGGATCAGCATATGCAAAGAAATTTAAAAAATCAAGGATGAATTTAGAAAGCTTTAAAACTGTGAGCTCTTTGTTGGGAATACACTTTTACTTTTACTCAAACATTGATGCAGTTTCTTCTTGTATTGAAGAATGAGTGAGTAAGGTTTATATTTCTGATGTATACTTTCCAGTTGCTGCTGATGAAGGATGAATAACACTAATGATAGTTGACAATAACAAACAGACATTACAAAGAAAAATGGCATGAATGGGAGGAGAAATGGGAATACTCAATACAGAACTTGTAAATGTGCTCAGGATATTATGGCAAGATATCTGGAGACTGATGGAAAGCTAATCATCTGATTCAAGAGAATGAGAAAACCCATATTAGAACTATGATTTCAAAGTACACTCTCTATCCAGGCACATTCCTCGTTATGGAGCAAGGAGGCTCTTTATTCAAGTCTACTTGTTACTTTTTGGCATGGTTCATAACTGGCATTTTTTACATTCATTCACATTCAGTTTCAACAGATACAGTTAAAACAATTTATATTTTCTGTAAATTTTTAAAAAGTACAAGTTTACACCAAAATATCTGCAAAAATCATGTGTATAAGAGCTGATAAATAACAGAACACTGATTTGAACAATGATGCAGTTAACTGTGTGTATTGGTACTTACTATTAAACAGTATACTTTTAATGAGGTTCCAGATTTCCATATCTGTTTAATATGTACTTTATAACACAGAAGGTTCTTAGGCCTAGAGAAGACAGACTGCACCAACTGCACAGCATTCATGTCCAACAAAGATTTTCCTCCACAGGAAACACTGTCAATTGCACCTAGGGTAGACCATCTACTGTCAAAACAGGCACAAAGTACTGCATTCAGTACTTAAACTACTGTTAGTTCCTCGGAACTCTAGCCGTGGTACAGGAGTCATACCATCTCTTGCGGAGCAGTCATATCAGCTTACATCAGCGTGGGTACTACCAGTTTGGAATGCAGTGTGTTGGAGTGTGGTCAGGTGTATTGTACTTACTCCTGGTCTCTGTAGGCAATGTTTTCTGCTCGGGTAGTAGCTCTGAACGTCACCAAAGAAAACATACAGCTTCACTGCTCCACAACAGTGTTTACCTTTTCGTGTGGCTAAAGTTATGAGACACTAACTATAGGTATGGCGAAGAGCATATAAACCATCTACCTTGCAAGATACTTGACCCTTCAAGAAAATTTGTGAGCTTGGAACAACAGCAGTGCACTGCAGTAGTTCTGCTTTTAATTACACAGCACTCCTTCAGGATCACTATGCTTTTCCTGTCCCAGTTAACTGTTGTTCAGATAATGTATCCACTTCTGCATCTTCTATGTCAAATTCTTGTTCCCAGTCATCATCATTGCTTTCTGCAAAGTAATGCAGCTAAGTTAGTATTCATATTCTTATTCATGGATCCTATAGGGACATGTTCCTATACCATCACTTTGCTCTGTTTTTGTGACCTTTACTGTAACCAGTGCTCAACAAATGCATTCACATACATTTCCCATGACAAATGAAAAGTTTTAGATGAGAAGGGTAAAGTTATCCCTGGGTTTAATTAATTACGCACCGCTCCATGAAGGCGTATGGGGGAGTTCAGGTATAGCTCCACCATTCTTAACTGTGGTACTAGATGGAGGTGAGAATTAGATTCTTTATGTACTACACATTCATTTTGTATTTATACATTAAATGTTGAAGCACCTACATGTGAAGCTTTCATGTATGCAATGAACTAAGTTAGTGTTTAATGGCTCCTCATTCTAAGTGTTCAATTGAATAAGAAGAAAATAATGATTCTGTGGAACTCATGTCCATGATCATTCTACAACAAAGCATCAGCAGTAATTTGATGACAGGATTTTCATAGAACTTTAGAGAACTTATAGCAAAGTCCATTTTGAGAAATTAACAAGTACAACTGGTCATGAAATTGCCTGTCTCTTATGGGATTTAAAGGTTCTTTACCACATTCACAAGGACTTATCACTGGATCCTGTTCTGGGCAGGATACTAACAACTCCATGTCATAAAATGCAGTGCATTATGAAATGCCACAGAAAGCCAGCCTTATACCAAGACAGAAGTAAATGCCTCTAGGCCTGGGCTGCAAAGACACCCTGTTAACTATTTTACTGATAACTGCATAAGGTTAGACTTTCATTATAAAGAAATGAGAAAGTAATACTGACAGATTTTATGGTAACAGTGCAGAGGCACGACTTGTTTGAGGCCATGCAAATCTGTGTTAGGATGTTGATTACCGTATAAGGCAGTCATACATGTGATTTAAAACTTTGCTTGTCTGAAGGCTATCCTGGACATTACTTACACAAATTACCAACCTGCACAGAAGCATATTTAGGCACACTTATATCCACATGGAGTGCNACATTACTTACACAAATTACCAACCTGCACATAAGCATATTTAGGTGCACTTACATCCACATGGAATGCTTGTTAAAAATCTCTGTACATTTGTATGTATGGAAGATATAGCTTGAGACCTGCCATGTGGATTTTTATTAAATTTGATATTGGGGAGTGTTAACAAAATTTTTGACATATTTCAATTTTGGCTAAAATCAGACAGTAATAATGGACACTTTAAATGAAGATCTATACATGTTTCGTTTCTCGTCTTATGCATAACCTGCTAAATATTTATCAGGGTGAAAAATGTTTTGAATGAAAGTTGTAGAACACACATTCCATACAGATTTTTTGCATACCCTATGTGGTTTCCAACAGAATTAAAAAAAAAAATGAACATCCCACACTATGTACACTATGTACAAATTTCTGGATTTGTACACTCACAATAAACAATGGTCTTCTGAATTCTGATTACCAGTCTCTTATTATCAACAGTAATAAAATAAAGGGTCCACCCAGATGAATTTATAGGTCTGTATGTTCATGAATATATATTTAATTAAAATATAACTGATCATGCTTCTACAAGCTTTATATTATCATATTATAAATTTTACCTTTTTCTTACTTTCTGCCTGACATATTTGCAACAAACAGTTGCACAATGCACCTTATAACTTGTCTGTCTGTCCATTCACCCGCATGTAACTGGAGAATCAATGAATGGATTTTTATGAAATGGGATACTGGGAAGATTTATTAGAACTTTTCAGTACATTCCAGTTTTATTAAAATCAGACAGAAATAACTGTTTATGAAAAGATCTAAATGTGTTTTATGTGCATCTCAAGCATAACTAGCTATATATTTATGGGAATGAAAAGTGTTTTGAACAAAATTTGCAGAGACAAAACACACATTTAATGCACCTGTTGAGTTGACCATATTAAGATGGATTTTAGAGAGACAGGATGGGATGGTATGGATTGGATTGATCTGGCTCAGGATAGGGACCAGTGGAGGGCTCTTGTGAACATGATAATGAACCTTTGGGTTCCATAACATGCTGGGAAGTTCTTGAGTAGCTGCACAATTGGCGGCTTCTCAGGAAGGGCTCAGCTCCATAAGTGAGTAAGTGAGTGAGTGAGTGAGTTGACTTGCTGCGCATTATCCAGCGTCCTGTTGATTTAATACAATGAAACAATGTTTCAGAGAATGGACTCTTGCCTCCATGCTCAAATAAAAAGCCTACTCAGTTGGAACCCAATCGATATACCTAGTCTCTATTTCCAGACCAGTCCAGTCTCAGAAACATTATTTTTAATGAGAAACAGGATAATGGATAATGTCAAAAAAGTCAATAAATTCGTTAACATACCATTGTCACAAACTTCTAAACATATTTTATGCCCCATGCAGTTTTTCCACATTCCTTATGACTTTCAAGATAGTTAAACGCTGTGCATACATTTCCCAACTTCACAGAATTACTGGGTTTTTGGAATTTTTTCCATCATCTGGAATTCTAGCTAACAGAGGAGGTCCTTTCTCCCTCACCTGAAGATGGAAACAGATCCAGTTTCTGAAACATCGTGTCCTCTATTACCTAGAATTCCAGACGATGGAAAAGTCCAAAAGCCCAGTAATTCTGTGTGCCATCCATCATCATCAGAACCCTTTACAATCTATTTCCTAACCTGCTTATCAGTTCAAAGGAATATACTGATAGCACATCCTATTGGCACAGTGCATTTTAAGATTCTGAAGAATTAGGTCATGTAGATTTTAATGCAACCTTTGTTCACAGCATGTCACCATACAAATTCTATGTCAAATCATAATGATTCACTGTATATAACATCAGATTTGCAGCACTCACTATGTCATTTCTGCTTTTTTTTTCTTCTAAAAGTTATCCAATTAGTGTTTCAAATTTTACAAAGATCTATTACCACACATAATTTTAAGATCATACTTTGCATAGTGTTGTTATTCTTACATCACAAGCTCATAGGTCACTATATTGCTACTGTTGAAGATACAAAGTTAAACAGTACAAAAGCATATGTAAATGAGTGTCCATAAATATTTATCTTCCTACTGTCCTCTTATGGTTGAACGTCTCATACCTGATTCATGTCTTCTTATCAGGGTTATTATAACTGATAATTAATAGGGGCCAGTCACGGTAGCCGAGCGGTCTAAGGCATGCATTGTCTTCGCTTGCTCGGAAGCCGGGATCGTGGGTTCGAACCTCACTCAGGGCATGGATGTTTGTGTGCGTTTTTCTGTTTGTCTACAGGTAGAGGCCTTGCAATGAGCTGATCACTTGCCCAAGGAGTCCTACCGTATGTGTAAGATCTAGTAAAACCGAAGTGAACGGAGTTCATGGAGGTAGGCCTAGGCCCACTGGGGCTGTAGTGCCAAGGGGGAAAAAATTAATAGGGATTAATTATGGACTGGGTGCCAGTAAGAGGTGATTACTGTAAATTTAATTAAGGACAGATAATTGAAACATTATTGGACTGACTATGGAGATGGGGAACATGGGAATATCAGGGGGTTTAAACTCGCCAAAACTCCAGAATCAGTGGACAGAGATTAATTTATTCACTACTAGAAGGCATCATGAAGACACTCAAGTTCAAGTATATGGAGATGCATACTTTTATGCACTGCTGGCAGTTTCAAAGTCTGAAACTTTGTAATTAAAACCAGTTATGCTCATAAAATTGACTCAGTTAATATAATCAAAAGATGTAAGTCACTCTAATTTGTGACTTAGTAAGTCAAATCAAAACTTTAATATAAAATTTGGGTGACTGAGCATGTAACATATGGCTATACTGGTCAAAGATATGATGCTAAGTGATTTTTCAGTTTTGAGAGCTGTCATTTCAAAACACAATACTACAAACTCAAACTTGCTGCGTTTCATAAATCATGTAATTTTCTTGAGTGACAGGTTAAATTCAAATGGTGCAACTATGCCTCCATTGCCCTCATATACTCATACATTTGGCTGACTGGCATTTACAATGATCTTTTGATGTGTGGAAGTCATTCTGTCGGAGGGCATGTTTTAATGTGAAGTTCGAGCATTAAAAGTAATGGCCACACAAATCTATAAAAGAGCTGACAGGCTGGTGCCTTAAAATCTAAAAATTTACACTGAAACATGGTATCGCCAGTAAAGATAAAATAATGAAACATCATAAAATTTACAATCATAGCTTAGCGGCTCCGTAGTCTAGGGGTAACATTCCCACCTCATGACTCAAGGTACGCAGGTTCAAACCTGGCAGAGGTTGTGGAATTTTTAAGGGCGGAAAAATTCAGGGAACAAGTCCTCCGGGAGGGACTTTAAGCTATGGGTCCTGTGTTGTAGATTTACGGCACGTAAAAGATCCTGTCTCTAGGAGACCTCTGAGCAAAATTAGGCAAAACGTTTCCTGCCCAAGTAGTTTCCAATGCCTCTGGTAGATGGGGAAGTATCGGGTACCAGTGCCAGAAGAGGGCTGACCTCGCTGGCAGAGTGGGGCTGATAGTGAGCACCAGTACTGGTAGGGTATGGTGACAATAGAAATTAAAGGGGGTCGTACAATAGACTACTAGTCGTGGTGCATGGGGAAACCCACGCCCTCCAATAATAATAATAATAAATAATACAATCATAGCTTAGTTAATGGCCAAAAGTAAAATAAATATGTAAATTTATAGACTGGTAAAATAAATGTCTAACAAATAGTTTAATCAAATAATAATTCTAGTACTTAAAACTGAGAAAAACAGTGACAATCTCTGGATGGACATATGGATAAAGATAACATGCATTGCATTAACAGCGTTCTGAGGAGTTCAAAATCTTGATCTGGCTCTGATTGAAATGGTGCTTAGTACATGATTATCAGGTACAGTGCTAAAATTCAGTTTTGGTTACTGTACCTTTGTCTCCTGAGCAGGATGATGTGTGACAGCTATTTCCATCAGTGACAATAACCATGTCTTTCTTCTCCTTTGTTTTAAAGCCAGTAGGTTCATCTATGTTGAATTCTCCTTTCTCTGCAAACTTGTTCAGTTTTTCTTGTTTGTTGGCTATGTTATCATCTGAGTTGGCCTGATGGCTGTCTACCTTGGTTGCTATGTATGGTTCTGATATGCTCTCAGAGATAACAGGGGAGTAATGGTTGTCCCTCACATTATATGCCAACATCATAGCATCTTCACTACTGTCCCTTTCTGAGCTACTTCGCAGTAATTTCTTGTTTTCGCACTCCTTTTCATATTCAAGTAACAGCCGTGTCTGTTCTTCTTCAGTCAGTTCAATGTTGGCACCAAAGTCTTTTTCTGAAAGTAAGCACAGCTGATCAGCAACTATATATTATGTCTACAGCAAGCTTCCCAGACAGGGGTTGAGTGAACAGATATACATGTTAGACATTTTCATTGTTTCCTTCTTGGTTGAAAAAACGAAAGTTCTTTTAACCAAAAGTGAGACAAAGGAAAATGTCCAACACATGTTCAGACTTAGGAGTTGAATAGTTCTTCATGGAAAGGTGTAGAATAGAATGAATTTTTATAGGTTTAAAAATATATTATTTTATCTTAAATGGAACTGTACAATCATTATATAAAATAACGCTTAGAGGAATTATGATATCAAAAAATCTGAAACTGCTTCAAACATGATGTATGAGTACCAGTACCTACAGAGATATGTCACCTGTGAATAATGAGGAAGTCTCACAATTTAGATTGCTTATGTGACTCCTTATTAGTATGATAATGACCATAATGTTTATAGTTTTAATTTTAAAACTGCACTATGAAAGATGTGCAACATTATTCTTTTTCATTTATGAAGATAATGCCCCATTCAAGATACTGTTAACTATGTCTGACTGTCAAAAACATTTTATTACAGATCATAAATATAATATTCTCATACTGGGTCCAGCAAACTTGTTTCCTCATCCCTCTATTAATAACTTTATTTGAAATCACATAATATCATGTGTTGAAGATGATTGTCTTCTGTAATGCAATTCCCTCTACGTTTGTAGATCAGTAGTAACATTTTTGAGGAACCTGCTGCTTCAATACTCAAGGTAGAGGAGTGACCCTGAAGATGGAGGTAGCACATTCCTCCTGAACATTGGTAATCATCCACTGAATCACATGGTGTAACATCCCAGAAGAGAGCAATCTCCACAGTTGCCACTGTGAGGACCTCCATCTTGCAAGAGATACTGTTGCATCTTAACATGCAATACTGTCTATAAGTAAATCAATCACAGTAAGACATTCCTAAGCCATAAAAATTACTTTACTTTATCATAAAATTTACAATTCTTCAAAATTTTGTGATAAAAACTCTGGAAACATGTTTACACAAAGACATAAAAATACTCTGGAAAATGTGCTTTGTTACTTTACCGTTTCATAAAACTGAAATATGGTCTCCCATAGACAAGCCCTATACCAGGTTAATTTGTAATAAAAGTTACCTCTTTTAGTCATCTATAAACTCCTTATTTAGGCCAATTATTAACTCTTTTATTTTCATATCATGCCCTCTGGATTCCTTACTTGGCACAGTATCCCATCTTAAGGGTCATTATCTGGTTAGTTCTTATGTCACTTATCAAGCCCATACTGAAGTTTTGTGAGAAACAATGATTGTCATCAAACACAAAGCATCCCAACTACAAGTGCTCATCTACTTTCTTTGGATTTTATGCCTATGGCATGAATGATATGAAATATGATAATATTTCTGTAGTGACATAATTACCATACCTACAAACCTACGACCAAAATTTCACGACATAAACAATGGAAATAGTATGCAGGATTTGAGGGTCTCACAGAGGTGGTTATGAAGCGTTCTATCTTCTGGGATATAATGCCGCGTAGTCCGTTAAAAGTAAACTGAAGTATTGGAGGAACATCTCCTCTTCAGAGTAAAAGAATAAGCCAAGGAAGAAGCCAGTATTAAAGCAGGTGGCATGCAGAGCAATTGGCTTGCTGACATTTCAGATTATATATGAAACAGAGGGAACTGGAAAACAGCAGGTCAGTTCCTGCTGACCTGCATCCATTGGTTCTGAGACACAATGAAGTGAACCAACAGGAGACAAGAAGAGGATAACCAGCTGGGCCTTGAGAAGCGCCATTTGTGCTGGTCTAGGAAATAATAAGGGATAAGTAGTAGGGGTATGGTGCATACAGAACTAAGGAGTGTGGGAGAGAAGTTGTGTGCCTGGGTCCTAGGCTTGTGGTAGAGGATGAAGGTGCAGAGGTAGTAGAAGGAAGCTGGGACAGCAAGGTGGAGACTTAAGGGTGATGAGTGCCCAGAGAAGGCAGAGTTTGTGCCTTGATAAGGATAGTGTGCACAAAACTACGTGGTTCCGTGAAGAACCACATAGGTCCATGCACACTGCCCTTATCAGGGCACAAACTATGCCCTCTCCGGCACTCATCAGCCTTATATTTCTACTCTGCTGCCCCTTCATCCTGTACTGCATTGGAATGCATAGATTTTCCAATTGTGTTCTTTGCAATTCTGTGTATTCCACTGCCAAGTGCTCCTCCATCATAGGTACAAAGCTGTCACTGCAGATACAGGCTTGTTGTTACAAGGCTTAAACATACTACAGATATGCTGTACAGTCAGACATTTCTTTTTGTCTGCTTTTTGAAGTTCTTATCATAACAAAAAATGTTTCAATTAAAGTTTCAGATTCAGGGACATCTACACTGAAAGCTGTGTATAGTATCTTTTTTAAACTAAGCCTTCTTTTAGAATGTAACACAAATCTGATTGTAGCTTCAGGATACAAAGTAATGCAAACCAAATTATACTGTCCCAACAATTTGTGGTATAAACCAGCAATAACAATTTCATCAAAATCCATTCAGTACTTGGGTAAATGAAAACTACAGATACTACCTCCTCATTATGCATTTCATGCAGTGAACATAAAGAACTTAAAACAAATACATCCTTTTGTCTGCATTTTTATCTGCTGTATTCATTAATCCAACCACCTATATAACAAGGCATTAAAGATAAAATACATGAATTATATTTCTTGCCATTCAACATGATAATACTGTGATTTTTAAAGAAGTGAAATTACTGTATCTACCAAGCAAGAACTGCATATGCATCACATCAAAGGTAACAGCTAATAACCAACTATGCTACTGTAACTGTATTATTTTGACATCAATCTGAAATTTGTTTACAATCTAACACCACATTCATGGCAAAATGTATAAAATACTGGTGTATATATCCCCATAAATAATAGCAAAGAAACATATTCTGAAAAATGTGTGGTAAACCACTGACGGTAGTTGGTAAACACTGGAAAGAAAGATTTGTTTTGTAATCATAGATGTATGCATGTGTATACATGAATGCACTTCTAATGGTGTACACAAGTCTTGCAAAAAAAATTTTATTTTTCTTTTTATCTTGAGAAGACAGTGGCACATAATACAGTCTTAAATAGAGTATTCTGTGGTTGAGGGAATTCTTTACTTGAGCATTTTCAGTAAATAAATTAATTACGTAGTTTCTAACCAGACTGATTACCTTGATCCCACTGAAAATTTTCTGCTGCTTGTCTCTCTTTCTCAGCTCTTCGCTGCATTGCTTCCCTTCTAGCTTGTTGATCCTCCAGTAATGCTTTGCGGAATAAATATCGCTGCCAGAATTCTAGGTGTGATACCTGTCAAACAAAAATTTTTTACACAATGGAACCAGCAACTTCAGTTGCAGTTAATGAGGTTCTGAATAATTCTATGTAGGATTTGAGTTCTCACAGTGGTGGTCATGAAGAGTTCTATCTTCTTGGATATGACGCCATGTAGTCCACTGAATGCCAGTTGACTTTCACTGGACCACATGGCATTACATCTCAGAGGATATACGTGGGGCAATCCAAAAGTTTCCGAAATTTGAATTTTGCGTGCGAATGGTTATGAGTACATCGAAATACCACTAGGTGTCTCCTCACACATCCTTCTTGAATCAGTGTGGCAAGCGGCATCGAGTTGAGTGGTTGGGTTTATTGTTGGTGAACGTATTTCCATTGTTGTGTTTCTGTGAGTTTGCGGTTTTGTGATGGCTGACCTGAGAGAGCAGCGTGTCTGTATAAAGTTTTGTTTCAAACTTGGGAAAACCGCTACAGAAACGCACCAAATGTTGAAGCAAGATTTGGTGAAAACAGTTTAGGCCAGACACAAACTTACAACTGGTATAAGTGTTTTAAAAATGGCCGAACATCGACCGATGATGACGATTGTTCGGGACGGCCGTCAACGGGCAAAACACCAGAAAATGTCGCGAAAGTTAGGGATCTGATTCTGTAAGATCGTAGACTGACCATCCAAGACCTCTGTAACACCTTGGGACTGAGTTATGGTACATGTCAATGAATTTTGTCAGAGTAACTGAACATGAGGAGGATTGCAGAGAAGTTTGTGCCACGACTGCTGCAAAATGAACAGAAGCAGCATCGCTTGGAAGTCTGCAGGGAACTTCAGCAACAGCTTCAAGAGGATCCAAACTTTCTTTCAAAGGTTGTCACTGGTGATGAAAGTTGGGTTTATGGCTACGACCCTGAAAGCAAGCAGCAATCATCGCAATGGAAGAGCCCTTCTTCACCTCGGCCAAAAAAAGCTGGACAAGTCAAGAGCAACATTAAGTCCATGTTGATCTGTTTTTTTTATACTGACGGGATTGTTCATAAGGAGTTCGTCCCTCCTGGTCAGACAGTCAATAAAGAGTTCTATCGCAATGTTCTAAGGCGTTTGAGGGAGGACATGAGGAGAAAACGTCCAGAGAAGTGGCGCACAAACGACTGGGTACTCCACCATGACAACCCACAACCACATACGGCTTACATGTTGATCTGTTTTTTTGATACTGACGGGATTGTTCATAAGGAGTTCGTCGCTCCTGGTCAGTCAATAAAGAGTTCTATCGCGATGTTCTAAGGCGTTTGAGGGAGGACATGAGGAGAAAACGTCCAGAGAAGTGGCGCACGAACGACTGGGTACTCCACCATGACAACGCACAACCACATACGGCTTACATTGTGCAGGAATTTTTGGCTAAAAACAAGATGACAGTTTTTCCCCACCTACCGTACTCGCCAGACTTAGCTCCATGCGACTTATTTCTCTTCCCGAAGATGAAAATCAAGTTGAAGGGGTGAAGATTTGATACAGTTGAGGAAATTCAAGCGGAAACACAGACGGTACTAAGCACCCTAACAAAGAAAGACTTCCAGGATGCATTTGAAAAGTGGCAGAAACGCTGGGATCAGTGTATGCGCTCCCAAGGGGACTACTTTGAAGGTGATGGTGCAGAATAAGATCTAGGTAAGATTTAATAGTTTTTATTAATATATTTTGGGAACTTTTGGATTGCACCATGTAGCTCTTCACTAAATAATTCTCTTGTGGTAAAATAGTTTTGAAATACTGTACTTAGCATCATGCTGTTCTTTTTTCAGTTAACATTTATATATGCACCCTCAACATAACCTTGTATACAATTCTTATCACTGTCATTGCTGCTGTTGTCTGCCATTATCACTGCCATCATACATAATAACCTAGCTATATGTTTTGACCATGTCAGTCATCATCAGGATACGTTCATTCATTCAATCCAGTGAAACTGCTACTATTGTTTACATTGTAAATACTGGCTGATGTGTTAGTAGCTTTTCTGATGTACATAAACTTGAAGGCTTATGTGTAAAATCACAAACCTGTTGTGACATTACTATAAAATTGTTAAAAATTATTACATCATACTAAAAAAGTCTCTTCTGTAGTGTCCAGATTACATGTAAGGCATTAATTCAGATGCCTACTTTCCCGTGTCTCAGACTCCATCTATTAGTGTCCAACGTGATAATGTGTTGATTAATTCTATTAGACTTAACCCTTAACCTTAAAATAAAATTCTTCCTTCTTTCATGCATAGCTCTGATTTATGTTCTATATAATATGTCAATAGCATTTTTTTAGTTCATTTGTGGCCACACAAAACACAAGACTCTATATACATACAGAACAGCAAAAGCCTGTCTGCTAAAAATGGAAGGTATTAATTAACATGTCCTGAATCTGAAGGACACAGTTTGCCTCTAGAAGGTAGAAAGCTTGAACTTTTAAGCTGTTAAAATCCCTGTGTACACAGCAAACAAATTAAGTTACAGCTAATCACTAATTTATTTTAGCAGTATACACAACAATGACACATCACACTTAGACACCCTGAGTTTCCTATGATCATATGATCTTGTTGGTGATGTCTGCACTCTGTTCTTTGTGTGAAGTTCTGTGACCTTTTCCTATGTTTGCTGCTTGTTACTGATTGGCACTTAGCAGCAGACATATGAAAACATCACAAAACTTTGCACCCACATCACCTGTAAATCATATTACTGCAGGGAAATAAGGAGAAAAACATGTCAGACTTTATAACATTGAAGCATTTTAATATGTAGAGTTCATTACCAATTTCAACCTTAACACTTCTTAGATTTAATAGCTTTTACTTACTTACTTACTTACTTACTTACTTATGGAGCTGAGCCCTTCTTGAGGAGAAGCAAAATCTGCAGCTACTCAAGAATTTCCCAGCATTTTATGGAACCCGGAAGTTCATTACTGTGTTCACAAGAGCTCTCCACTGGTCCCTACCTGAGCCAGATCAATCCAAACCATACAATCCCATTGTATCTCTCTAAGATCCATTTTAATATTGCCTACCCACCTATGCCTTGGTCTTCCCAGTGATCTCTTTCCTTCTGGCTTTCCCACCAATATCATATATGCATTCCTCTTCTCCACCATTCATGCTACATGCCCTGCCCACCTCATCCTCCTTGACTTGATCATTCTAATTATACTTGGAGAAGAGTACAAGTTATGAAGCTCCTCATTATGCAGCTTTCTCCAACCTCCTGTCACTTCATCCATCTTCGGTCCAAATATTCTCCTCAACACCCTGTTCTCAAACCGTTTATCCAAAGATTCTTGAGAATTTTCGTAACAAGCTTATTTTTTTATGGAGAGGGGTTTTTAGCCCCACGTCCAACCCCAAAGCTGGAAGACCACCCCTTGTCGGCTGTCCGAGACTGCTTATTCAATATATTTGCAGCTTCCCTCCATACCTGGAGGGCGTCTCCTCCATTTGCAACCTGAGGACGTACCATGCCGTGGTGACAAGGGACCCACCTAACATGGTTACTGCTTTTACTATCAAAATTAATTAACAATGCAAATAATGGCACACTTGCTTATGTGATAGGATATACCTCATGTGGTGCCTGAAGATGACTACATTACAGTTGATAACTTGACATCCACTGTAATGGTGAAACAACTTCATGATATGTTGTTCTAACTGATGTTAAATATGAGTAACCTATACAATGAAATGAAACAGAATGTTTACAATATAGAATTATAAAGTGAGATATTATGTTAATTTTCTGGAATTCTTTGTTAAGGATACAAACAGATCAGGGTTATGCAAGCATGCCGGGCACTGGTCTACAATCCTCTAATTCCCACATATGTTTTGAACTGAATGTCATCTAGGAACAAAGAGCAAGCATCTACTGTGATGAATGTAGACTCTGACATTACCTGATCTGGGACCAAAGTTGTGTACTGAGAATGTAAATCAGGATTAGCAGCCATCAGTTTCGATAGTCTGTCTGCAGTCAGCTGATCTTCAAGAATTTCTAACCAAGCTTCATATTGCTTCTCATATTCCATTTTTGGATCAGTCAGGAATGTGTCAGGATTTGTCACAAGTGCATGCTGCAGAACCTAGAAGAAAGTATTTTACAGCTATTGAAACTTTACCTTAATGCCATTGGTTTGCAGAGTAAAAAAGAATTCAAGTCTCTTGAGACATACTCCTGAAGAACTTAGTTTACTGGTGGGACAATGAAATGGAGATACAGGAAGCAGACTTCAAATTTTCTGACCTGAATAAGAGACAGGTATAATTAGTTAATCACAATGGAAGAAGAGATGACACCAGACTGGCTTAACAGATACTGAAATACAGCCCTAAAGAAATCAAGACTTGAAAAGAATCCAGAAGAGCTGAACGGACAAAGTATACTACATACGGGGGCTAGAACAGATGAAAAGACTTAATTCATGATATTCTTGATGATAATCATGTATAATATGGCCTATCTTAAAAACCTCTGCCACAGTAATCTGAAACTCATAAACTAATAAAAGTCATAAAAGACCTAACATTTAGTGCCCCAGAGATTCTGAACAGTGCAAGGTGGTATGCTGACTCTCGTCTGATACTGTACTACAAATGGTACATTTACTATTACAGAATTAAGCTTTCCTATGCCATATGGTGTAGAACATAACTTCAATTTCCTGTTTCGCACTGCCAAAGTAGGACAAAGTCTTCAATGGTGCTTTTTATGTGACCTGTTTTCATAGACATACATGTAGCATCTGCATGGAATAAAATGTGTATGTACATACAAAATAAGAGTCTAAAACAATCAAGATGACTGAAATTTTAATGTAACAATCTAGGAACAATTCTGTATGAGAAACTTCGTTCAATTAGCCTTTGTGAATATTCTGCAATGGCTTTTAGTTTGACTGACAAACTGAAGTACTTGTTGTGATAAATTATTTCTACATATTAAGCAGACTGTGTGGGAGCAGAAGTGAGGAAGTTCCATTTATAGACTTCTATGTTAGTACCTCTCTATAATCTGAGCCAAGGCAGTCATCACAGCCTTGTGTCGAAGCAGATATTATTATAATTAATTATCCTGAACATCCTCAGTAATAGTAGGAAAGTCATGATAGTCTCAGAAATTCAAGATATTTATCCCTATAAATAACTGACAAAATACATTACTGAATAAGCATAACCTGGAACTTTGTTAGCGCTACAGGTTGGGAGTCATGGATGACAATTGCCTCTTCATCCTCATCATCTGGAGTGGGATTCAGCACACTGCTGACTTGTCCAAAGAATGATGATACACTTCTTTTCATAGTGTTTGCTGCTGATTCTGGTTCATGTAGCTGTAAATGCAAGAAATAAACAAAAATAATAAATATGATCTCTAGTAATGGACAAATATATTTTCTAACTAAATCACAACAGTACAAAAGACTATAAAACAAAGGAAAAAATAATCACTCCCATAAGTATTTTGGGCACTTCAAGAAAAAATAGAGAAATATGGCTCACTCTTAATTTATCCTTCAGAGCAGAAGTTGTAGAACTGACAACATTACTAGCTTCATTCTTCACTGCAGAAGAGAATTCATCCAGGTCGCGTCTCACAAATTGCAAGACCTCAGTAGACTGCAGGCAGAAACAAATAAACTTCATATAGTTTTGTGTTTGCTAAATACAAGTATTCAGACAATGTTACCAACACAGGACAGGTTAAGCAAGAGTAACTATAAGAGCTGTAACCTCTGTTTTATAAAGTTGATGAACCAAAAGTGAAACTAGATCACACTGCAGTGCTCCCATACAAAGTGAGACTTTTATTTGCTACTTCTGTGCAGAACAGATTTAACAGAACAAAGAAACAAAATTTCTTTAAAGAGAAAAGCAACATAAGCTAACAGTCAATAAGTGGACAAAGTAAAAGGAAAGAAAAAAAAACAAATAAATATGAAGAGGGATCCAAAAAAAAACGGAATTTGTTTCTAGAAGGTGGGGCGCTTGTAGTACAGGTGTCCGCCCCTAGGTGGTTGTTTGCAGCACTTTTCTGAATCAGTATGCCAGCTGGCGTCATCAGAAAAGTTTACATTAGAGTTTGGTTAATTTTTTCTCAGTGATTCTTTTATAATTTGTCTGTTTTTAATGGCTGATTGACACGAACAATGAGCTGCTGTGACGTTTCGTTTCCTTTTGGGGGAAACAGCAGCAGAGAGGATTCCACATTTCTCTAGACAGTCGGCTAACAGATGGCAGTAAGGTTGTCAGCCTTACGCACTGTCTGCCCTTCACCCCCCAGAAGATTCTTGGTATTCATTTCTGTTGGAGGCTGAGTCAACCCCAGGGCCATAGTGCGTTTGGAAAGATTATGTGAATTGAAAAAATCCACCTCATCGGGAATCGAACCCATGACCTTCCGGCTTATAACATAGTGTCTCAACCAACTACACTACCATATGCCCCAATACATCTAGGAGCTATTTCAATGTTATCCTGCTATGTAACCTAGGCTTTCCAAAAGGCTTTTTCCTTCAGAGAATTCCCAACCAAAGATTTGTAAGCATTTGTTTTCTCCTCCAATGGATATTGTACGAGTATGATCCACTGTGATCATGTTTCTTGATTTGATCACCTTAACAATTTCAGATGAGTAAACTGTGGAACCCTCCATTATGTATCTGAGTTCTTCTTCTGTCCTCTCTTCTTGTGAAAGCTGAGTATATGACAGAAGTTTCCAATATTGTCTGTTCTCCCACAGCGTTAAGTGTGTCACTTCTCTCCATGTCTTGTTTTTCCCTTCCAAATTTTCCCTTTCTTGGTCCATCCATCAGTGATTGAGTGATTTATTGGATTGATAAGCTAAGAGATATCCAAGCTCCTTACTTAAAAAAGAGTTAAATTTGCTCATATTTTTTTATTCATAAGATTTTTCTTCATACTGACACCCATGTGAGCTGGGTTAGCGCAGTCAGTATATGGACTTCCTATGGGCTGGACGACTTAGGGGTCGGAGTTCGAGTCCCGGTAGTTTCACAATTTTTCTTTTCCATGTCATCCAGACTGGCTCTGGGGCCCACCCAGCCTCCTATCCAATGGATAACAGGGGCTTAATGGCATAGTGCTTAATTAGTTAAGCACAGGGACAACTTTACCTTTTTACTTTCACTGACACTCGTGCATACAACCCTAACAAACAAGAGAAACTATACTGACTGAGTGACAGCCACTTGTTGGTGAAGTTAGTGCCAAATCCAACCCCAACACATGGATAAAATAAAAACAGGCGTTATCTGCCACCAGAACTTTCAAAATTGGATAGGCAACACTAAACTGCGAGAATAGTCACCCTTTTTATATTACACAAAATCTGAAAATGCTATAATAAAAATAAGAAAGAGACAAGTTATATGGTAATATAGTCTCAATTATAGGTGGGCAATAAGTATTAATGTCTCATAGCAACAGGAGCTTAACATCTATACAAAATGTCTATCATTTATATGAAGCTGATTGTAAAAAGAAAATACATATAAAAAAAACAGTAATCACTCAAAAATGAAACTGAATCAAAAACATGTGACCACAATACAGAGCACTGGAAAACAGTCAAAATTTTCTTGAAGCACTACAGAAATGGTAGTACATTCTACCTTACCTGTGCTGATGGCTACGACAGAAAGCATGAATTCTAAAATAAAGTGGATAATTCAGAATTATCCTAATTTCAGCATGCAAACATTGTATAAAAGCTATCTACACCAGTGTTGCGATGATAATTTAAATTACTGTGACATGTCTGCTGAAAGCCAGAATAGTTTATCAGAGAAGATGCTTGCTGCTAGGCAATGGCTCTGTAAACATGTTTCCATGGCAACTGAATCAAACGATCTCCGCAATAATTATTCATGCAACAAGAGAAGAACTGTTGGAGGTCGTGTCTTCTGTTGGGTCCATGCAGAGGCTCTGACTTGTGACCCAAAATTCCCCCCAAACTTATGTCCGATCAGCCTCATGTCCACTACGGGCAAACTACTGAGAAGCTGATTTTAAGAACAATCCAACTATATACTGAGAAAAGAAACTTACTGAATGCAAGTGAGTTAGGCTTTTGAACGGATCACAGTATCATGCTGGTGGATTGTGTCATCCTAAATATCAACAATCATATGTTGACGGCTACTGTACTTTTAGATATCGAGAAAGCCAATTGCACAACATGGCATTCTGACCTACTATATAAATTACTATATAAATTAGAATTTTCAACAGGTCGCATTAAGCTAATGGCTTCTCATCTCACCAAGTGAAAATTTAAAGTCATGGTAGAAGGCGAATTTTCTATGCCAAGAAAAATAGCTGCAAGGGTGCCACAAGGTTCCGCACTTGCCTCCATATGTACAATCTATATATAAATTATGCCCCCATGGCAACTCATAGAACTCATCTTGCTCTGTTTGCAGATGATACTTGCATTTACACAACAAAAAAGCAATACTGTTGTGTTCTGTGCAAACTGCAATGTGGCCTTACTGCAGTGAAATCGTGGTGTAAGCGCTGGAACATAAAGATCAATGAAGAGCAAACTGAGGTGATCTATTTCTCCATAAGACTTAAAAAGAGTCCCTGATGATGCACTACAACTAAGTGGATGAGACATTCCCTTTGTAAATACTGTCACCTTTGTCAGGAGGATGAGATGGGAACACCATAATGAAAGGACTGTAGCCAAGGCCTTGCGCACATACATAAGGACCTATTCTCTATTCAGAAGTGGACATCCAAGTATATCTGTTAACCTTAAGCTTTACAAAGTTTTAATTAGGTCAGTTATGATTTATGGTTGTCCCACCCAGCAGTACGAAGCAGATGCTCATCTCTTGAAATGCAGCATCTGCACAGCAGAGTACTCCATACTACTGAAACTCTTGACAGGTGCATGCCAGTCTGTGAATTGCATGTGGCTTTCAAAATTCCTTATCTGTACAACTACAAAATTAAATTATGCCTAATACAGACAGAAGTAACCCTAAACCATGTAAATCCAAATGAATGTGGTACTGGACATGGAGAAGCCATGAACACGAAGTATCAGAGGCTTAAACTTGGCAGCAGTCAGGCCTACAACTGTTCAGATGACTAACTGCAGTTTCAGAGTAATTAAATAAGTTAAGGCATAACCTGCTGCATAAGCCTCCATTGACAGAAAACTTCTATGTATCTTGTATAAATGTTACTTAATACAGTGCAGTGACAAAGGATGCACAGAGTCCACAGTAACCTGGACAATCTGACAGCATGGATATACTCATGCTGAAACTATGTTGCAATAAATGTAGTGCCTACAGAGAAGGACTGACCACTCCTGCATTGAACACGAGGCACCATTTTGAAACATGTACATGTCTAGGACAGAACAAAATTCTTGGTCGTGAGTCTTGAGGAGACTAAAGCTCTGCTGGCAAAGGCCAGCATCAATTTAATCGACTGATCAAACACACCAGTAGCCCATGTGGAGGTGGGTTTGAGTACCTCGACTTTAGCCCTGTGAGTTGTAGTAAGGGACAAAGGTGAAACCACTGTCTGGGGGTAAAACTAGGCCACTTTGTCCCTGATGGATATAAATACAGGGACCTGGCCCTCAATGTCTGGGGAGTCTCGAATCTGAGACAGTAAAATATGGACACAAGAATGACTACTGGTGAGGACCAGCAGCAGTTGTAAAAGACACACCTGTCCTCTTGCCAGAGAAAGTGCACCATGTCCACAGACCTGCAAGCGTCTGACAGTAACTGACTTTTGAGACAGACCAGTCTGAGATTGATGGGAGAGAGCTGGTCCCTGGTGGAGGCATGGGTGCTGAGGCGAAGGAATCTACATGGTTGGGAACTGTTACCACACAATGCTTAGTGAAGCCAGAGAAGACTTAGTGAGTGCTACACTGAACTGTAAAGTGTGTAAACTAATGAAATGGTTATAATTACTTGTAGTTACAAGCTATAAGAGTCCAATAAATTCAGTTACCAGTCCAAACCATTGTACCTTCACTTAACATGTGACAACGCCTAGTGAAGCCAGAGAAAAATTGGCGCATGATGTGAATTGCAGAGTGTGTGAATTAATGACAGTGCTGTTATTAATTGTAGTTATGAGTTTTAACAGTTACCAATCCAAACCCTATCTACAGTCACTCAATAGTTTGACACTAATATAAGTGTAGCACCATGGATGGAATGAGGTTTGGTCTTCAGATTCCTTCTGCTAGGGTGACAACTCAGTCTTGTTAGTAAAGTGAGATTCCTGATTGATATTCAGCAACCAGGATCTTCTAACTAAGAATAATAGCATATTTTTACCTTCCACATTCTCTTAAGAATGACTAATCATCACTCCAATATATGCTGTTCTCCAGAGTTAATTGATATCACCTCTCCCTTTGAAACAATAATTCATCAATCAGTTGTTGATGTTATTTAAATACATAGGTCAGCTTTACGCTGTTTAAACTCGCAGAAACCAAGAATGGAACATATATCAACCAATGAAGTAGCCCAACTTCTAGTTAGTGGCTTGTCTTCCCTTTAAGTTTAAATCAAAAGCATTTCTGAAACCTATCCAAATCCAGCTACTCATGTGCTGTCCTTTATTATAACATCATCACATTTCAAGTACAAGTATTACATCATTAATTTTAATGAAATTACTCCATAAATTACCTAAACTTGATACTGTGACTAAAATTTCTTACCTGCAGTTCTTTCAAAAATCAGTTCCTCATATATAAATTTCGTATTATCAGACTCACATTCATGCAGGCATGTTTTTAACATATATGCCACTTCTAAATAAATATACGTAGGTAAGTCAATATGTAAGTTACAATTGGATATAGAACTTACTCGTAAACAAATGAGAATACTGATTTGAAAAATGGTTTTATTTCTCAACATAATGTCCCTATACATTGAGGCACTTGTCCCATCGTTTCAGAAGCCCCTGAAAACCAGCAGCATAAAATTCTTTGGGCTGCTGTCAGAACCAGACATGTTCACACAGCATGGCATACCTCATAATGCATGACAGGTTAGGTTTTCATAAAGTCTGTGCACAATGGGTGCCGTGCATGCTGACCCCACAACACAAAATGCAAAGAATGGGTCTGGCATTAGAGCATCTCAGTCGCTACCATGATGAAGGACACGATATGCTAGCCCAAATTGTCACAGGTGATGAGTCTTGGGTTCACCATTACCAGCCCGAGAGAAAGCATGCGTCGACGCAGTGGAAACATCCTGCTTTGCCTGCCAAGAAAAAGTTTAAGGTGACACCATCCTCCAGGAAAGTGATGCTCAGTCTTCTGGGATCACGAAGGCATACTGCTCACCACATTCCAGCCTCAAGGTGATGCAGGATGTTCCCACTGCACTGACACATACTTTGTCTCGGGCTGGTAATGGTGAACCCAAGACTCATCCATCACCTGTTACAATATGGGCTAGCATATCATGTCCTTCATCGTGGTAGCGATTGAGATGCTGTAATGCCACACCCATTCTTTGCATTTTGCGTTGTGGGGTCAGCATGCGCGGTACCCGTCGTGCACAGACTTTGTGGAAACCTAACCTGTCAAGCATTATGAGGTAGGCCATGCTGTGTGAACAGGCCTGGTTCCGACAGCAGCCCAAAGAATTTTATGGTGCTGGTTTTCAGGGGCTTGTGAAACGATGGGACAGGCGCCTCAATGTACAGGGAGATTATGTTGAGAAATAAAAGCATTTTTCAAATCAGTACTCTCATTTCTTTAAGTTCTATATATATTTGTAACTTACTTATTGACTTACCCTTGTATATGTATACGCATATTTTTGTATATTGACGACGTTACCCAGCAAGTTCTAGAATGTGATGAATGCCCAGGTAAGTCTGGTAGAAGCATGTAACTGGGAGGATGTATGGGAGATGATGCTTTGCTTCACAATGAAATATGTGTACAGTAACAACTGGTTTTACAAATCTTCAGTAAACCCAACAGTAACAGAAAGAAGTTTTGGTAAGAACTGATCACCCACTTTCCTTTGATATGAAGTTGACCACATAGAAAATGATACCTCCATCAATTCTTCATTGCCACGGGAAGGTGCTTACCGAGCTGTTGCCTAGCAATAATAGGGGGATACACAGATGGACTCACACGCTCTCCTTCGATATGACATGGACCATACAGAAAATGAGGCCTCCAACAATTCTTCTATTGTTGCTTGCATTTGTTGCTAAGGGAGTGTGTCTACCAAGCTCTTGCCCAGTTATGACAGGGCAGATACACATACAACTGATGAGGGATTTCTGAAGTACACTGTTGAGAAGGGATCAGGTGCCATGATGTACATACCAAGTTTCATAAAGATTGGTTCAGGCATTCAGATACATAGACAGAGAGAGACACAGACTGCAAGGTGATTGCATAAACCTGATTTTAATTTTTTCAAAATAAGGAAAGTAGGCTAAAAATATGGGCCAGTAACCATGAATTGAATCGTTTCTAGATGATTTTTTGGAGCACACTGAATTGAATAAGTCTTAAGTACAAAATTAAATATTCAATTGGTTGCAAGAGCATATATTCTTGGTATGTGTTCATTAACATGATGTTCACAAAATTACATGCGGAAAAATACCCTCGTGAAAATTGTGAAGAGTGAACATTCCAAGGGCAAGAATACTTCTAGGCAATGCTGTGTTTGCACAGTTCACAAAAGAAAGGAGTATGTCTACATTTGCAAGTTCTGTGTAATGCCACTTCACAAAGGGGAATGTTTCCAGAAATATCACACCCTCAAGCACTTCTAGGAGCATTGGTAAGTGTTCTCCAAAAATTTTAGTTCAAAAAATTAATTAGGAAATTTTATATTAATTTTTAAAGTGAACAGTGCAAAAGTTAAGGTAGTATGTTTAAAAATGCCGGTCCCCAGGGCAATTTAAATATTTAAATCACCGGTCTGCGAAGTGTTAAAAACATATTCTCCAAAAATTTTAGTTCAAAATCTGTTTCAATGTGCACAACATACAATGTCTGTTTCATCAGAGTTTACAGTTTGTCCCAGATCATATTTATTGAAATACGTGTATATCTAAAAATATATTAGAACCTTAGAGCAAAGTGGCAGTCGACACTATCCAACTGGGAACAACATCATAGTTTGGCAATACATCTGTGTAAAAACTGGTGAAAACAAATTTAAAATTTCAGATTTCACTGAAAGCATTACATGCATATGGATGGACATGTTGGAGATTTTAGAGGCATGTGCGCTATTACTGCTACTAATTTCCTGTTCCACAGCACCATTGTGCAACATGTCACAATATTAATTTAAACAAAATGTATATACCTTATCTTTTGCGGCCTTATACCATGAATCCCACCAACCTCCACCTCTGCAACACACAAATTTCAAACAAATACAAATGCACACTTATGAACTTCACTTCTATACACTCACACATATTAAGATTTTCTACAAATAATATTTAACACATGAATGTGCGTAATAATCATAACTTGTACCCTTCTCCAAGTATAATTAGAATGATTAAGTCAAGGAGGATGAGGTGGGCAGGGCATGTAGCACGAATGGGGGAGAAGAGGAATGCATATAGGATATTGGTGGGAAAGCCAGAAGGAAAGAGACCACTGGGAAGACCAAGGCATAGGTGGGTGGACAATATTAAAATGGATCTTAGAGAGATAGGATGGGATGGTATAGATTGGATTGATCTGACTTAAAGATAGGGACCAGTGGAGGGGTCTTGTGAACACTGTAATGAACCTTCGTGTTCCACAAAATGCTGGGAAATTCTTGAGTAGCTGCAGATTTGGCTTCTCAAGAAGGACTCAGCTCCATGAGTGAGTAAGTAAGTAAGTAAGTACACACACAAACTGCACACTCTCTGAGTAAAGAAAGATGTGCAGTCAGTGCAACAAGTGTCCAATATAGGAACCAATAAGTGCACAAGTATCTTGAACCAGATAGAGGATAGTTTGTTATTAACATGCATCAGAGGTTAGGCAGTGTCAGTGGTACTCTGATTGTGAACAATGAGAGAGGAAGCGGCTATGGTCTGTTTTAAAGTACCACCCTAGAAGTCACCTGGAGGGACTGACTCAGGAAAGTAACAGAAACTTCAGTAAAGGCAAATGCTAATTGGACAGGAACAGGAAAAGATAATGGCCTCATGATATGATACATTAAGTACCAAAATTACAAGGTGGTTCAAATATGACCGGGACTGATTTTTTTTAAACCAAAATTGCCAAACACTTACTTGCACATGTTGGTCTTTAACGTACTCCCCTCCGGAGTCAACACGTTTTTTCCAACGTTCTGGAAGCATCGTGATGCCCTTTTCAAAAAAGTTTTGTGGTTGGCGGCATATCCACTCCCGAACATTCTGGATGACGGTGTCATTGTCCACAAACCGCATGCCTTGCAAGTCTGATTTGAGCCTTCCTAACAGGTAGAAATCGCTTGGTGCCAAATTGGGACGGTACGGCAGATGTGTCAGAAGGTTCCATTTCAATTTCCGGAGGATTTCCATTGTTGTTTTGGCCATATGGGGGCGTGCATTTCTTGAAGGCTACCCGCTTTCCACCTCTCTTCCGCTTGGATCGGATCTTTTCCTTCACATCTGTTGCCAAGAAGTCTGAGTAATAAGCTGCATTGACTGTTCTGGCATCTGTCAGAAAGTCTACATGGTTAACCCCATGCCAGTCCCAGAAGAACGTTGCCATCACTTTTCCTGCCGAACGGCTCCTCCACACTCTCTTGGGTTTGGGAGAACTGGTATGCCACCACTCGCGTGATGATTGCTGGGACTCGGGAATGAAGTAGTGCACCCACGTTTCATCGGTGGTCACTACAGACTTCAAAAATGCATCACCTTCATCTTCAAACTGCTGTAGGAGACAACTGGCAACTTGCATGCGCAACATTTTGTTCACGTCCGTCGAAGTGTGTGGTACCCACCGTGCATTCACCTTGCGATAGTGCAGGTGGTATTTCATGATGACTTCTACACTACCAACACTGATGGACAGCATTGCCCCAAGTTCCTTGATAGTAATGTGCCTATTCTCACGAATAAGTGCGTCTGCATGATCAATGTTTGGCTTGGTGACGGATGTTCGCGGCCGATGATCATGCGGTTCATTCTCCACGCGCTCTCTGCCCTCTCTGAAGCACTTACACCACTCAAACACACAGGTCCATGAGAGACACTCTTCCCCATACTGTTGTTGGAGTCTGTGGTGAATTTCAGTGGACGGGACGTTTTCTCCAACGAGGAATTTGATCACAATGTGCTGTTCCACGCTCTGCGGTACCTTCTGTTCACTCATCACTCTAGCAACTTCCAGACAGGACTGAACAGGTTCTAACCCTAACAGGAGGGAGGGTGGAGGTTGTGGCTTCACTCTCTCAAGGTCGCACAGCTGCTCCTGCAGCTTGTTTACAAAAAAATCAATCCCGGTCATATTTGAACCACCTAGTATATATGGGCTCTAAATATGGAACTTACTTACCTACTTACTCTTGGAGCTGAGCCCTTCTTGAGGGGAAGCAAAATCTGCAGCTACTCAAGAATTTCCCAGCATTTTATGGAACCCGAAAGTTCATTACCGTGTTCACAAGAACACTCCACTGGTCCCTATCCTGAGCCAGATCAATCCAAACCATACCATCCCATTCGATCTCTAAGATCCATTTAAATATTGTCCACTCACCTATGCCTTGATCTTCCCAGTGGTCTCTTTCCTTCTGGCTTTCCCACCAATATTCTATACGCATTCCTCGTCTCCCCCATCCATGATACATTCCCTGCCCACCTCATCCTCCTTGACTTGATCATTGTAATTATACGTGGAAAGAGTACAAGTTATGAAGCTCCTCATTATGCAGTTTTCTCCAACCTCCTGTCACTTCATCTCTCTTCAGTCCAAATATTCTCCTCAACACCCTGTTCTCAAACACCCTCAGTCTCTTTTCCTCTCTTAATGTCAGAGACCACGTTTCACAACCATACAGAGCCACAGGCAAAATTATAGTTTGGTATATTCTAATTTTTATGTTTTTGGACAGCAGACAAGAAGACAAAAGGCTCTGGACAGAATGGTAGCAAGCATTACCTGAGTTCAATCTCTTTTTAATTTCCTCCTGAATCAGGTTTCGATCTGTTATCGTTGTTCCCAAATATCTGAACTGTGCCACATTTTCAAAACATCTGTTTCCTATCTTTATGTCATGATTTTGCCCTGCATTTTGGTGACGAGACAGTAACATATACTTAGTTTTCTCTGTGTTTACTTCTAGACCAACTTCTTTACTTGCGTCAATTAAAGTTTGTGTGTTTTTCTTTATGGTATCTACATTATCACCCAGCAGATTCACATCATCGGCATAGGCCAACAGCTGATGTGTCCCGTTTAATTTCAGCCCACCTGGTTTCCCTGGACCTTCCTAATGGCATATTTTAAAGCAAAGTTGAAAAGGAGTGGCGATAAAGAATCTCCTTTATTTAGACCATTCTGGGTAGGAAATTTATCAGACAAATGTTTACCTACACAGACTTTACTATACATTTCGTTTAAACACAGTTTAATCAACCTAACTAGTTTCATGGGTATCCTAAACTCTATCACAATATTATACAATACTTCCCTCCAAAGTAAATCATAGGCTTTGCATAGTTGGTTGAGGCACTATGCTACAAGCTGGAAGGTCACAGGTTCGATCCCCAATGAAGTAATTAAATTTTTTTAATTTACCTAATCCTTCCAGCCACACTATGACCCCGACACTGGTTCAGCCTCTAACAGAAATGAGTACCAGGAAGATTAGTTGGGGGGTAAAGGGTGCCCGGTGCGTAAGGCTGACAACCTCGCTGTTATCTGTGAGCCGACTGTCTAAAAAATGTGAGAGCCTCAACATCTCACACTCCTATCAGCCTTCACAGCCTGTTACTGGGGCAAATTTACCTTTTTACCTTTACCATTATTATCATGAGTACAGCTTCTTAATCATATAATGCAGTGCAATTAAAACAGCTAAGAGTATTAACAACGGTTAGATCAGAAGAAGCAGGTTACATTGCACTGACTGCAGAGTCAAAGCAAAATGAACTGAGACAATCCGAACATTGCAGGATGTGAAACTAAATGACATCTCAGGAACAAAAAAGGGAGTGTATGAAAGCCAAAACTACTGAGCTTGAACTAAACAATGAGAACAAAAATATTTGAGACTTCCACAGAGACATGAATGAATTTAACCTTGAACTAACTTGGTAAATGTTGGAAAGGTGGATGTTCATTGTTCATTGTCCATTTATTTTCCATATATATCCCTACAAGTTAAAAAAAAACCAGGATGTCGAAATTGTCCTTTGAATACAGATATCAATATGCATATACAAGATCAAAATCATATACATCAATCAATAAACATAAATAATAATGTAAGGTAAAAAAATCTAATAAAAATAAACATACATTAAGAATAACTTACTCACGTTATTAATCCCACTTGGCTTTAACAAGCCAAGGGATAATAAAACAAGTCAAATACATATACATACATGTGTGTTACAAGATACAAAACAAAACAAGCAAGACAGGATTATGCCACATGCAATAATACCATAATTAAAATACAAAATTTATAATAGACTGACATAATATCAATCATAACTTTTAAAATACCACAAATTTAGGTAACAATCAACAAACCACAGACATATATGTACTCATCCACATAAATTACTACAAGGAAATGCTATCCTTCGATCTGCAACATTCAAAATATTCATCCAAAGTATAAAATGAATGAGAAATCAAGAAATTCTTCAAAACAATTTTAAAATCTTTACAATTACTGAACAACTGCTTTAGATATAAGGGTAAGCTATTAAACAATCTGATACCCATACAGTATGATCCCTTCAGGTATAGTGATAGATGAACTATAGGTTGATAAAAATTAAGATTAAAACAATGTCTTGATGTGCTTGAAGATTCCCAGTGTTTTGAAAATGTGGAAGAATTACTCCCATCAGCTGTTGATTGTACATGGGATTAATGATGTTATACAGACCGAAATACAAACAGCCTAATCATCTGTACCCAAGTATGTTGCTTTCAAGTTGCGACTGGTATTGAAAAGTTGAAATGGTATACATTTGACAGATACTGACCAAATTCCAGCCACCTGATCCAAACAGGAGATAAAACATTACATTCTGAGATCCACAGATTTCTAAATTCTGTCTGGAATAAGGAAGAACTGCCACAGCAATGGAAGGAATCGACTGTATTTACAACGGGGCATACAACTGAATGTAGTAATTAGAGGGTTATCCATTACATATCCGACATTCTTTTCTCAAGCCTAATTCCATAAGCAGATGAAATGATTTGGAATCATCAGTGTAGATTTTTACTGACAGGTCAACTACTTATCAGATATTCTGCATTTGTCACACACTGGAGATAAAAGGCAGTGTAGTGAGATCACAACATCTATTTATGTACTTCAAGAATGCCTGTCATTTAGTTAGAAGAAAAGTACTGTACAGTACTCTCAGTGAATCTGGTACATCCACGAAACTGTTAGGCTAATGAAAATGTGTTCAAACAAAACTTACAGGCCCATATAGGTTAACTATGGAACAATATTTTCCATATTCATAATGGCCTGAAACAAGATGTTTTATCACCATTGCTCTACAGCTTTCCTCTACAGTATGTCATTAGGAACATCCAAAAAAAAACCAGAAAGGACTGAAAATGAATGGGATATATCAGCTTCAGGTATTTGCTATGGATGTTAATTTATTACGTGTGAACATACATACCATGAAGAAAAACATAAATCAAATAGATACTGGAATTGGCTTGTCATATATCAATAACAACATTCTGTCCTGACTTAATAATGCAGTACATACATTCAGTACACAAATTCGGTGAATTTAAAAAACAGATTAGCACATGAAGAACCACTGCAATCATCAGCATACTGAATAGCTAACTTAAACTATCATGAGTTTCTCTGTTGGTATAAAGCATTAGGTTTGCTGTTCTTATCTGATGAAAGGTTCCATCACACAACCTAATATACTTTATCCATCACCATATGTTGTCAACTTGTCACTTCGATCCAATATCATGCATACTGATTCTCTGCAGATTTGAAACATACTTTGAAACATAACTTCTTGTTAGTACTATGGCCAGTTCATATGCAAGACTGAAACGCATACACAATTTTCCGAAGAAATATCCGTAAGTTTCGTTATTTTAAAAAGTATGTGAAAAACACTTATGTGACTTACTTCCTTATTTCTAATATTTTAACCTTATTTGTTTACCTTTCTTCAGCCATATCTGGGCTGTGACACTTCACAGGACCAATTATAAGTATTCTGTATCTCGACACTGATGTATACTTAAAAATCAAGGACGATGGTTTCTTAGTGTTTATCGCTTATCAACACCAACATTTTACGTGATACCTACAATGACAACATTCATGTCTCATGGACCACGTATTTTCGCCATACACCAAGTGGCTGCGCTTGTATCGTGATGGTAATTCGGTTTCGGTAGCATTCATGGAAAGTGTTGGCCTCTACGTCAGGTTTGCGTACTATGTATGTGCTCATGTTTATTTCCCAGACCACGTGACAGTTCAGATCCGCTTCTGTAATTAGAATTAAACCGAAGTTGCGTTCGAAGGTCAGGTAAACATAAAATTAACCCTTCTAAAACTGAATTTTCTATAAAAATTCAGTTTGTATCTCACAGGAAGCGCAAAGAATAATCGGTCAATGCCGTTTAAATAACAGCTGCTGTATATAGTGAGAACCATACAAAACACACAAACATAAACTTTAGTCAGGATGCAGAGTTTTAGAATTGTGGCACGTAGACCCGTTGTTGGGCAACGTCCGCGAGTAGACCTAATTACTTGCCATGTCGCACGGTTGAGTTATGTGGTATTGGGCATAGGGCAGTAAAACGCAAGAGACAGGGTGGACATATTTTAATTGGAATAAATACACAACGATAAAATGCTATAGGCCTATTGGCGGTTGCTTGATAATATTGTGACATGACGCCTGACAGGCGAAATAGCAGAGCCAGGGACACGTCTGTTACCACGGAGCGGCTCCGTAAACACATCGTCTCCGAGACAGCGGTGACGTCGAAGAATTCCAGTTGCGTTCTGAGTTCGCGTCTGGTGGCCTCCACTTGGGTCTTCTTTGCTTGTATGGCAGTTAGGCCCTTCAGGATTCTGCGGCCGTGCTTCTCAAAAAGATTCCTCTTAGGGCGAGGGCACACCAAGGAAACTGGCAACCGCAACGCAACCGCAATTTCCGAGAAATGTCGCCGATTTCAAGCAGGAAACTGGTTTCGAGATTAGCAGGCCCACAGTGAGGAAATTTATGTTTGATTATTTGCTCACGTCATTTTGAGTGGTTATGTTCGTCCGACGTAATGCAGATTGTATTTTTTGGTTTCGTGCACTTGCCTTCTGCATTGGAAGATGATAATACTGAACCTGTCATAATATGGCGGTAGTTGAGACCTGTTGAGACGGGTGAGAGGAGAGGACGACGACCATAAGGAAAATATTTGGATGTTAATTAATTTGTTTTAGTTAAGGTCATTTATTTTAATCAGTAAATATCGCGTTTACACGCGATACGAAATTTTGACATACAGCGCAATAATTTTAGCAAGATAGAAGACATCTGATGATGGCCATATATAGCCGAACCATGTAATGCGGAAGAAGTTTGTATTTAAGACGGAAATATATGTGAAATAAATTATATGTTAACGCAACAAGATACTTAAATACAATATTAGGAAAACACTGGGTGCATCCGTTCTTCTGTTACAATTGAAACGGAGGCGTTTATATTGTTTCGAAAGAACTTAATCTGGATCCAGACTCCTTCGCCTCATGAGAAATTCTTTCCCAAGCCAAATCTATTTTATCCTGCCTTTCATAGTCTGGGTGACGTTTGTCATATATGCAAGGCCCTTGCTCAATTAACTGCACAAAAACAAAATTAGCAGCTTCGTCAACCTTTAGTGCCATCTGACGAAACAAATGAATCACTGACGCGCGTTATAAAACAGTTGACACTAGAAAACCACGCGGCAACGTAATTGTGAGAAGACTGGCATGCTTCATTGCCTGGAAGTTGAGTTTTTCAGTCTTTCCGCGATTTGCGTTACCGTTTCCTCAATTTGTGCTGCTCCATTCAGTAACATGTGTTCAACTCAGGCTGATAACATTTGCCGGAAATTGCGGTTGCGTTGCAGTTGCCAGTTTCCTTCGTGTGCCCTCACCCTTAGTATCTGCTATCTCCTCGTGAAGGCTTCTTGTCCACGTACCGAGGGACATCTCTAAATCCCGCAGCGTTTCTCCAGTCGTCACGTCGTGGCCTGATAAGAGCTCGGAACTTACCAGAGAAGAGGAACAGGCGAGGGCGCGGAGAAGTCACCGAAGTTCGACGGATCCAAATCATGAGCAGTGGCAATGTTCCAGCGCCATTTCGAGACCGTACAAGAGCACAGCCGCTGGACGCCCCGAGAGAGAGCCACATATTTCATCACTGCCCTACAGTGCCGGGCCTTCAACGTGCTACGCGGAGTCCCGAAAGGAGCGACCCATGAGGAAATCCTTGAGGCCATGGAGGACTGCTTCGGGGACTAGCACCTTGCCTTCGCGTATCTCAGTTGGCTGAAAACTAGAATCCTTACAAGAATTTGCCACAGTCGCCCAGCAGCTGTTCCACTGTGCCTAAGCCGCATTACCTGAGGACCATATGGGGAGGAAGGCAGACAAGGCGTTCCCCGACGCGGTGGAAGACCCCGGTATGTAAATGCAGCTGCTTCTGGGATAAAAGGAAACGGTGTAGGAAGCCGTGAAGCAGACCCTCGAGCTGCAGGCCGTGTCCCTAGAAGTCAAGGCCCGAAAAACGAGATCCAGGACATTCAGGAAGAGCCGGTTCCCCCAACCGAGAGAAGAAACCAAAGACAACCGGCATGCTGGACCTGTTGGAAGCCAGCCACTGCCAGGGCATCTATAATTCCGCTGCGTTTCTCCAATCGTGTCGAGTTCCTCACGAAGGCCTCGTCTCTGTTGGTCGACGGATGATAGGCTGTCCTTCACCCGATGCTTGATGATCTCTTCCAGCTCGGCCCGGACGTAGTTTATCGCGGCCTCCATCTCTTCTTGACTGCTCCTGATCGCTGCCGTCGTCTCACCGTGGCAGATCGCTGTCCATGCTGGAGACGAGAGCACCTGTCTCTGACTTCATTTCATGGGTGGTTTTCTTCTCTTCTTGAGTGACCTCTCTCCTGGCTTGGCAGACATCCATCCGGGAGACGAGAGTACCTACTCGGGTTTTCATTTCTTCGTGACTGGTCCACACAATTTCTTGAAGGACCTCAAACTTCTCGTTATTTGCCTCTATCTTGGCGTCCAGCCTTTCTTGATTTCACTCTCTCTTTTCCTGAATGATTCTTATGTCAGTTTTCATTTTTGCTCTTATCTTGGCCAGCAGGACTTCCATCATTTGTTCCATTTCCGTGGTATGACGTTGCAACTACACACAACAATCTTCAGTCCAGTAATCGATCAATCCCATTTCTGACACAAATTCTCGCGCGATTTACTGGTTATAAACGGGGTTTAGATTGATGAATTTGTTAAACACATTTCGTAACCACAAGTAACTATAGCGCTATCGCTAATTCACACACTCTGCAGTCCACTACATTATGCACTAAGTCCTTTCAGTCTGCTATGTTTTCACCGGTTGTTGTCTGGTAACGGCTTTCAACGCTGTAGCTCTATCAGCGTCCCTGTTCCACGGCACCGGTCCCAGCTTGCCTGGTTCCTGCCTCACAACTAACTAGGTGTTACTGCGCAACGGCTTATAACAACGGGGGTTCCTCAACCTCCAACGCTTCCGCCAGGAGCGACCGTCTCATGACAATCTCAGACTCGGACTTGTCTGTCTTACAGACTCTCTCTAGACTTTTCTCTAGACTCCAGACTCGGATTTACTGGTTTGTGTTTCGATTCTTCGGATAAAATCTCCGCACGGTCCACAGAAAACACAGTTCCTTTCTTGATGTGGGTGACGTCATATTGCGGGTTCCGTTGTAGCGTCTCTGTCCGCCTGTAGACTAACCGCGTTGGAAACCCGCTTCCCGCAGCTCTCCTCTTGTTCCGTGACGTCACCGCTGTCGCCGAGAAGATATGTTCACCGAGCCGCTTCCTAGCATCCGCCGTTTTTCTGGCTCCACTATTTCACCTTTAAGGCGTCATGTCACAATATTAAAATTATAGGCCCAATATATGAAACGTCCTAGCGGATACACCTCGGAACATCACAGAGTTTCTTTGGGTGCGAACAAAAAGCCGTCATTCTTCCAATGTCTTGTTTTATTCTACATTCAATCACTGTCAATATTTTCGGAGCGATAGTGAGAAATATGGGCTTCGCAGAATACTGATTATTCTAATTTATTTTTAAGGTTGGTTACGAAAGTTTTCTGATAAGGAAACACAGATCTGCAAGAAATTTTCTATAGTTTCGAGGTGAAACAACGTAGCTGTGTGGAAGACATTTGATTCTGCATTTCCTGTCTTGTACCTAAGTTTCATTTTAGCCTATTCGTTTCTCTGTTAAACTGTTGAATTCCACGTTGCTATAACGTATTGAGGTTTAAAGAGTAAAATTCATGTAAAAGTAAGTAAGGCTATCCCTGTAAGAGGCCGTGAAGGCCCATAAGGTTGTGAGAGGTTGAGGGTCCCACATTAACTAGATAATCGGCTCAAGGATGGTGGTAAGGTTGTCAGCCTTACGCGCCGGCCGCGCTTTACTCCCCAGGAAAATTAATTCCTGGTACTCATTTCTGTTAGAGGCTGAGTCGACCCCAGTGCCACAGTGCGGCCGGAAGGATAATATCAGATAGATTTAAAAAGACTGGTAACGACGCAGAAATGCTCTGCGAGTGGACGGTAAGCGATTAACGGGCCAGACATTCGAATGGAATCCAAAGGAGAGCCGGAAATGGAGGAGACAATAACGAATCCAAAATAGCGATATGATGGAACTACTGGGGAAGGGAGGCTTGCCTGAATAAGATACAGATAATCGCGAGAGATGAACACTTGGCGCGAGGAACCTCTAATGAGAGAGACCTCGAAGTAACTAATCTCATTCAGACTCCCACTCTGAAAATCGCTCACGGCACCTCCCTTACAAAAATCAGCAATTAAACAAGAGACGTTATTCTGAGAGTCAAACTGAACTGATTAATAACTTCTCTGGATAGAAAATCTTTATATGTTAAAGGACGTGGTACATATATTTACCACTGTTCTAAAACATTCCATTACTGTTTCATCCTCAATTCTTATGACTGTAACAAGACATGTAAATATATCGAGCTGCATAACTGTGTACACAGCGAGAGAAGATAACAAATATGCATTAATAAAACATAAGATTGCAAATGAAGATTTAAAGTAATCAAATATAAACTTAT